CCTACCCCTTCCAACATGCCCCTGCCTCCTACCCTGTAGTTAATATTGGCTCTAAAGTCATCGTCCAGGCCATGAATAGACTTGTTGACAGAGTCGTAGGTCTGCCCAAAGTTGCCTTCCACTGGGATGCGATTGCGGCACCAAACTTCCATCACTGGTGGGCAGCGAGGCCAGATCAGGGACCTGGGCATCCAGGTCCTCCCTGTGCCCAGCCTCCGGGCTGCCCTTCCCGGGATCCTCTGGACCCTGCTTTCTGCTTCCCCGCCCAAGACTGTCTACCACCCTGAGTATTCCCTCTGCTCCCCTTGACTTCTTTTTCCTGGGAACAAGGCCTGATTTCCCCCCATTTTCACCTGTGCATGGCCATACCAAATTTTAACAGAGAGTGCGATGTTCATAGAGCAACTCCTCCGTGTGCCAGCTGTTACCTGCCTCACACGGGTTATCGCCTTAAACCCTCAAACTCCCTGGGTGGGATAAGCACTATTATTTTGCCCATCTTTCAGATGACAAGACAGCTCAGAGCATGGCTGGGTGACAAAGCCAGTCAGTGGAAAGGCTGGTTCTGTGGGGACTGTCCTCAGAGCCTAAAGCCTCCCTGCCTGATCGCTTCCCTCCCCACACCTATCCCATGCACCCCAAGGACTCAGCTCCTTAGCCCCGGGGCTTCCCACACTCCTGCCACTGTGCTGACCCTTGGCAATGCTACAGAAGAACTTGAACTTCATGGGCAGGCAGAGCAGGTGGTTGAGGAACGGGATCCAGATACGTTGCATACACTGTTGGTGCTTTTTGTCAAACCAGCTGTGGCAGCTGCTTATGGCCTTGTTCACCACGCCTGCGGGGAGGGGCGAGGGCTGTCTGAGGTCCCCACACCATGCCCTGGAGCCCTGGCCCCATGGCCTGCCCCACCCGGCCCCACCCGGGGACACCCCTCACTGGAGCAACGAAGCTTCGTCCTCAGCTCGTACAACTTCTGTGTGGAGAGGCGGCGGGATCCGAAGGCCTTAGCTGGGCTGAGCCTCCCCCGCTGTTGGGATTCCTGTTCCAAGCCCTCGGCATCCTTGGATGTGTAGCCAGCCTCACTGTTCACCTGGGCATCCAGGTCCTTCTCGAAGGAGTTGGAGATATTTTTAGTGTCGGCTTTCAGTGTCTTTTGGCTGCTCTGGGGGTAAAGGGTCAGGAATAAGGATTTAGAGCTTCTGCTTCCCAACAGCTTCTCCTCCCTGCCGTTAGTCAAGAGCCCTGCCAAGAGCTTTGGGCTCTTACCTCGGGCCTATAGGTAAGCTTCTCACCTTGAATTCTCCACTGTTACAGTTCCTGGGAGCCCTCTCCTCTCCCCAGTCGCCTCTGCTCTGCTCACCTCTTAGGCTTGTGGCCCTTCCTCAGGCCTCCCATCCCAGATCCTTGCTAGTCAGGAAAGGGCTCCCCAGGTCCTTAGACTTCACCCCACATCACCTTTCTCTCAGACCACTATGCCATCTCAATGTCCCCAACTCCCAAGACCCTCAACCCCCATCTCCTCAGCTCAACTCTCCAACCCTCCAAAATCCCAGTCTCCAACACCCAATTCTTTAATCCCCTGGTCTTCAAAGCCTCAGAATCCTCAAGGTCAAAGCCCCCAATTTCCTAACAGTCTAGTTCAGCTGCCCAAAGAACCTCCTCCCACTTAGGTGTTTGGAAATGTGTGTGGGGCAAGGCATGTCCCAATGACTGGGGGTGGGGGCTCTCCTGGCATTTAGTGCCCAGGCCCGAGGCACATCCTGCAATGTTTGGGGACAGTCCTGAAAAAATGCCAGCAGTGCCCCCATTGGGAAAGTATAAATCCAGGATCACAGCTCCCAACTCAATTCATCTAGGCCCCCTGGGAAAAGGGGCCCCTAGGCCTTGCTCGTGTAGGGCCCTGACCAGCAGATCCTTGAACAATGCACGCAGTGGGGCTACGGAGACGCGCCAGGCTGAACGAGTGTTGTTGATCTGCAGGTCCACGGTGCAGCCCAGCGATGCTACCACCTCGTTGAGGTTGCGTCGAATGTTGGTCATCGGTCCTGGGGGGAAGATGCCCTGATGAGTCATCTCCCTCTACTGCTAAGTGACTTTCTTAAGCCCACCCCTAGCTCCCATTCTGCATGCAGTGTCCACCATCCAGAACTGTATACGATGGGGCCCAGAAGCCTGTGAGAGGTCATCTCACTCAACCCCTGGTTTTTTCACCTGTGCAAACTAAGGAGGCTCAGAGATAGGGAGGAACTCTCTCAGGGACACACAGCAAGTTGAAGCAGCTGAGATTAGATTCCTACCCTTTCTCCTTCACCAGGCCTGGCTCCCATTGGGTGTCCCACCCAAGGTCATTGCTTCAGTAGCACTAACTGGTACCCAGGGGTACACTCACCCTCATAGATGGCGGTCAAGGCGTATCCCAACACAAAGAGTCTGCCCTCTTTGCCCAGCATTTTGGGTACTAGCAGGAGGCTTGCACAACGGATATGAGGGGAGATCCCCCAGCCCATGGCCCCAGAGCCTGTTGGGAGAGCCCAGGAGGTGGTATGGCAGAGTGAGGAAGCTGGTTTGTCTACCAGGTTTACCAGAGCACCCCCCCCCC